GTAAAAAAATTAATTTTTTACATAATTTCAAAATTTGACGTCTTCAAAATATGCTATTAAAATTTTAAGTTAAAGAATTGGCGAGAAGTTTGAAAATTAGCAAAATTGTAAAAAGAAAATAATGTCACCTTAAAAAAACTTTATCGAACGCAATCATTATGGCATTAAACTGCTCGCTGGTACAAGTAGCAATACTCAAACTTCACAATATAGCTGCTAATAGAACACGATGAACAATGACCAGGTCACGTATAATACGATTGATGTTTGACAATGAACATTTGGTGCCTTTTTAGTACAGCAATGATGACAGCAAATATTGACATTTCAATAAGATCGATAATGAGACCTATTGTTATCTGAAGCTAAATACAAAACTACAATTATCCCGGCGATTCATAATTCAGTTATCTTCTCTTCAATCATTTCCAAGTTTTTTTGTTTGGAACTCGGATAACACTTTAATGGCGCAATATATCTCGAAATGTTTAAAAATTAGATTTTTTTCAAAATTTTCTCTTAAAGAAAGTAGTATCTTATATCTTTATGAAACTTTACACTTTATGATTATTAACGATTTCATTGAATTTTTGGATTAAAAAAAGTATTTGTTAATTTTTGAAAAATGTACATGCTCGCTAAAGAAAAATTAATCTATAGTAAAAAAAATAAGACTTTTAATCTGAAATGCATACTGCATCTTTAAGTTTAAATATATCTTTCCAGCTTACACATGCTAGCAATCAATTAGGAATGTTCGATAATCAAGATTTGGAAGTGCATAATAAAATCCATCTCTGATGAAGATATTCAATATCGGCTTACACTTCAATCATCGGAGAAGTTCTTCAATTCGATTAATTTACTAATTTAAATGCAATCGTTATCAGGCACGATCCGTGACAGTGTATGAGCCGCAGATCGATAGTAATTACAACCGTCTACGACAGAACGTAATTGAAGTATCATCCGAGACAACATAGTCGAAAATAAATCCATGAAGTACTCTCGACCTCCTTCCAATATTATTCAGCAATAATCTTCCGCGGCGCTGATTGAACAAGCCGTTGCGTACGCGTTGCAGCCTGCTGCAACTCAAGGATGTACTGTTATGCATATTACGGTTATTTTTCTAGGAAATAACGGAAACGCGAGTACGAGCAGCTGTAAACAATAGGAACAAGAGTTCTAACATATTCTAACAGGCGCCAGTCGTTAGAACAAAAATGTAAATTTTAGCGCGTTCGAATAAAATAGCAATTTTCCATCGAATAAGTTTATAAAAATTCGATGAGATTTTTCCAGAAGTGCCCAAAATAAATGCACAATGAATTGGTTCATTAAGATATATGAAAATTAGAACAACCTTTGAACTATACGCTCGTTTCAATTGCAATGTTTCATTTATTTGCTGGATTTGTCTTTCTCATTTATAATTTGAATGTGTTGGTTAATTGATGACTCGATTAATTAGAATTCGCTGTTAACTCTTTTAAACGCTTTTCTCCTCAATATACAATTCTATCAATCTCTAAATTTTTTATCATCAAAAGATGCTTAAGTTAATGGCAATTCATATTTAAAATTTTTTTTCTTTTTTCAATTTTTTTTTTAAATTTTGTATAGTTTTAGTGCAAAAATAAGACATAAAAAACTATTATTTTTCGAAACATAATATCGAAACATAATGTACGTAGTTTATAAATCTTATAATAATATCGTGTAGGCAATATATGAGAAAATCTTATAGACATAATCTGAAAGTCTACGGCCTAAGAGTCTGCTGCCAGTGCAAAACTACCAATGTCGTGGGCGAATGCTCCATCGTAAATGTATGATGGAACATCCTGTATATGAATATATCTATACAGCGATCGTGCCGGCTTAATGTGGTTAATCGAGACGATTAAAACCGGTCCCATATTGCCAAAGGTCATCCATGTGTTCACAGATATTATAAGAATAACGTAAAAAGATACATATCCCTTGAAGGGACGGCAAAAAATCAATAGAAAAAAACCAATATTTCGATAATTAATTTTTATAGATTAAGTTATTGTTTAATATTGTGCAGATTTTAAAAAAGCCTGCTTTGAAGAAGTATAATAATTATAACAGAAACAAAATTCAGATTGTAATAAGTTTTTAAAAATTTCGTAAGACTGAATAAAACTGTATAATGTTTGTCTTTGTCCTCTTCAATTTTACATCAACAAAAATGCAGCTAATGGTAGTTATGGTCACGTTAGTTAATCATCAAGAGTGATAATGTGTATGTTGCAGCGAGTAGGAAATATCGTACTAGCTGAGGGTGCAATCGTTGTCGACGATATGCGCTCCCAGCTTGCAAAACGCGGAAGACGATACCGCGGTGATACTGAATATACTACCTCGCAAGGCTGCGATTAGCGGACGGTATCCGCGAGGAACGCGGGACTCATGCTTACCGATCCTTATCGCAGCCGATCGTCGAACACCTCTATATCTGCCTGCCAGTCTATTACGGGTTTAGAGACATAAAATACTAGGAGTGTCGGTGAGCGCGATTTTCGATGCGGTTTGACGGTAGGTGGGCGCGAAAGCACTTATAGGTTTTTATCCCCGCGGTCCAGAATTGCAGATATCAGGAATCGATATCAGTAATCGAACTGTTTACGATTGCGAAGCTAAATACATGATTTCTCAGTGCAGAAGTTCAAGCTTGAATTCCTCAAAAAGAGCAGAAAGCAAAAAAATTTATTATTTAAATAGACATTTTTAAAAATATTATAATACAGTGCTTTTGATTAATATAACTTTCAACTTAAATTAATTTCAAATATACACTGTAGCGATATAATCTTCAATAATGATCAAATATCTCATAATGCGGAATATTTTTATTCTTTCGTTTTCCTTATGGAATCTCATTGTCAGATATATTGAATTTGCTTTCAGCGCGATTTGGTAGAAGACAAGAAACAGAACCACCGCTCGTTGATATCGCTTTTACCAGTGATTCGTTAACGTTCATAAATCAATACGAAGAATATGTGAGAGATAATGATGAAAGACGCAGACGATGATGAAGAATCTACGTAGAGGCGTCTGGTACAGCCGAGACGCCTGATACGGCAGGTGATCAAAAATTTACGATGCGCGATAAAATCGAAATGGAAAGTTATGGGTCGTCTTTAGAATTGAGGAAGATACATAGTCTGGCTACGTTTAGCAGAATTCAACTGACTTTACCGATGATTCGTAAAATTAAGTAAAATTTAAAAAATTGGATGTCAATTATGAGTTGAGCTATGATTATAAAGCAATTCCATTAATCTCGAAAAAATATACACAAATATTTAAACGAGCAACATTGCACTTTCTATGCACAATGTTACTGAAAACTGTCCAATTATAGCCTTTAAATTTTTAGAAAAGTTTATAAATTGTATATATTAATCAATAAAAAAGAAAAATAAGGATAAAGCACAAAGATGTACGGTGGTGCAAAATCTATACGGAAGGTAGAATATGTCTTCCGTGTAATGATGCCAAAGCCGTAGATACAAGTGATTGAGGATTTACAGGTTACGATGCTATCGAAAAGGAAAGTTATGGTCTGCGCTTAGAATCACGAAGTGTTTATGGATGGATTGTATCGCGATAAATTTCAAACTATTTTAAATCTTCCCATTTCCCATATTTGCAAATTAGAAACAAAATTACAATTTTAATTCAGAAATAATTAAATTAGAGAAAGATATAAAAATAAAGTAATATCATTAGTGATAACTTTTTAAATAACTGTGTATCCATTCATTATGCATGACGTAGCGATATTACGTCATATAAAATAATGACAAAAAAAGAAATTATATACTACTAACGTTTTAACGGCATGAAGAATAATAATCATTCATTTTCCATCTACTAATTCTCCAGTTTTTTTCGATGATTAAAATACGCGAGCTGCATATTTTATAGGCAAAACCTACAATCAGATGTTATCAGATGAATTAATTCCTACACATTTATGTTCTCATACACGAACTTTAAAGTTTGTTAGAAAGTCAATTTTTTTACATAAGAATGTTGATTAACAATGTTTCAATTAAAGAGTCATGTTACACGATTATCGCGGTTAAATTATACGTTTAAAAAAATGAAGGTAAAAAGCCTTCAGCCCTTTGTATCCTGCATCGTGCGTGAAGTTTACATGGAGATTCATATGATTCAGTGTCGGTATTGCATTGTTTGGCGCCGCGCGCCATTAAGCCTCCACTGAATAATGACGGCACCGGATAATCGAGTATCAGACTTGATGGAAGTCGCGGCTGCTTCCCTCGGGTTCAACGCAACGAAGCAAAAAGAGTTGCTGCGAATTCTATTAAGCTACATAACATAGAGAGTACTGCTATAGAGCACTATTATATTTTTAAAATTACAGTTCTGTAACATCAAAGTAAAAAGAATAAAATACAAAAATTGCATTTTCGTTATAATTTATAGAATTAGTATCGAAATTAAAAGACCATATAGAATTTGTAATAAAAATTAACAAAAATTCAATAAATTTTACTTTTTAAATATTTTAAAATCAACTAATCGATATTATTTTGCAATTGCAAAAGCATTAAAGCAATTAAAGCATTAAAAGCAAAAGTAGTTTTATATCTGTTATTTCTACTCTTTTCTCTTTTGCATTATTTAGAATTGTTTCATCAATTTAGATGATATAAAGCAAAATTAAGCAATTATTGAGTTTGAAATCTAAGATTTTTAAGTATGTAAAATTAATTTTAATACACATTGCTTTACTGAAAATAAAATTTGATCTTATGAGATATTTTGCAAATGCGAATATCTACTTTATGTAAAGTTATAAAAAGTTTAAACATTTTTATTAAACTCTACATATTTTCTATTTTCAGCGTTTCTAGTGTGAGATATTATATATGTATATATATCTTGCACGCGCTGCGTATAGTCAAGCTCGAATTTGACACTAACGCAAGACTTACCAATGAGACAGATCGCTGTTGAAGCTTGAGACCCAAGTCCTCTTTTTCGTCTCCGCAGTCAGTTGTATAGAATAGTACGCTCTTCTTGGATCCCCTGAAATCAACCCTTATTAGTGTCTTCGGACGAGAAGAAGCACGAGCGGGATCTTAGCTCTAAACCCGTTTTACGAGACACAAACGCAAGCTAGAAGATTCCGCGGTATAATCTGATTAGCTGTGGGCAATAATTCGATCGATAATCTGATCGGATATCCTCTCATGTTATCCACTGACTATCGACCGACAATACCACAATAGTGATTTAGAAGAAGTTTCGGTGTGATAAATATAGCGGAAATAGTTGAAGGTTTTAAGATACAAATAGCTGTAATAGAAGTTGTTATGCTTCAGATATTTATATTTAAAACAAATGTCTAAAATATCAAACATTTTGAATGTATATTTGAATTCTTTGTTTCAAGCTTAAAATATTATAAAAACAATTTTTATATTTAAAATATAAGACATAAATAAAATTAAAGCAAACATATATATCAAGAATTTTGGCGACATTAATACTTCTTAATTTATTAAACAGTTTTTAGCGACTTTTAAGCAAAACTGTCGCACGGTATCGAAATGCAATTAGTAGAAACTGTGCCATGGGCGGTCGTTTCCAAATTGTACTCTTCAATTATAAGCTATAAATCAATGCACGATCGATGCCCGCCTCTGTCGCAAGCAGATTAAACTCGCAGGTTGGTGGTCGAGCGCGCACTACAGCAGTATAGTCTACACTTATCGTAATCGTACCTGAGCGCCTTCCCATTACGGTTGAAGGGCTGATGTTCGGCGAGCACGGGCGAATCCGTGTAGCATCGGCTCTCGCTCATAGCGACGACTACGGCATCGCAATTTTTTTTCAACTGGCTCGTGACGTTAACATCTGCAATCAGAAAAAAATAGCTGTTAAAATTAATTTGCACAAAGTTTTAAAATTTATTTAAAATTTATTGCCTCTGAGACATTGAATCCTCAAAATTCAGACATTTATTTTATTATAATCGATAAATTTTTTATATAAATTGATTCTTTCCGTTATTCAGTATACAAAAATATTAAGATAAAATAATCGAAAAGTGAATATTTTTATATGTTTTGCGATATTCGAGTCTTTTCTGTCGAATTCGATTGTTACACGACCCACGCAACAATTTCAATCTAACGATTGCTCGATTTGTAAGCGACTCTCGGCTGGGTCTTGATCCGAGTCGAGGCGCCAGGACGATTTCGCCGTGTGCAACCCACGCACAGCGGCTCGTGCGCGTTGGACACCGTTAAACCTGCTTCAGATGGGTGTAGCCCGACTATTGTGGTGTGTTCGTCTTACATTTATGGAGTTATTGCAGAAAGATTATAAAAACATCAATGTCATGTAGACACTTAAACGGAACCGATATTTCCAAATTGATTTTAATTATTTTAATGAAATGTGTAAATAAATTATAAATGTTTTATATGGAAAAGATATATCTCTTGTTTCTTAAAAATAGATCTGTTTATTAATTTTTCTATTGCGCATTAAGATGTTATCTTGTAGCTTTAAAAGATATGATTAAATTTAATATTTTAGTCTTTTTTCATCGAAATAAAGTGAAACAAATTTCGTGATAAAAACAAATTAAACATGTCTTTACACTGTAAAAATTGTAAAAATCGTGTAAATTTATACAACCAAGATATAAAAATTACATGATAAACAATGAAAATATACTAAATAAATAGTGTAAAATTTATGAAATTTACAGTGTAGACAGCACGTCATGTACGAAGTGAACAGTTTTTCGTAATAAATAAACATACTTATAGTAAAATTTATTAGAAAATATCCTCGAATACATAGTTCTGGACAGTTCTGGACTTTACGAACAACATTCGCAAATGTATTATTAAGCAATCGTGTACAATGGCCGATTAATTTGCATAAATTATGTGCGAGAAAGTTCATTCCACCGCCCACGGCGAAAATTCATGTGTATGTGCACGTTATATAGACGCCACACGCGATATATTGCGTGAACGAATCGAGAAATTGCAATCGAAGCATAATCAGATGCGCCGCGTAGTTTCAAACAAGAGCACTTTAAGAATAGTATTTAAAAAATATTTGTTATCGATAAACAGAACAACATAATAATAAAATAATATGTGAGTCGTGTGACAACAACAGCTAATATAAAATTGGACATCCACTTTTCATGTACGCGCTCGCTATCGAATCAAGCTAGTAAATGGCAAAGTTATACAACACCAAGTTCATTACGTGCTAGGAGTACAATTTGTTTTAATTCAGCCTGCGTTCTCTCTGTACTGTGCGCATACATTATTAACGAATACGTGGCGTTTCCTTCGTTACCGTACCGTACGGCATAAATATCGCGTGTATTTCTCAAACTGCGACTAATTACGAGTATATCTAACAAGCCGACCTTGACCTGCGCGTAATGACAAGAATATACTTCGCGAGGGAGGCATCAATAGAAGCATGATAATGGTCGTGCGTTACATCGATGGCGGGCACGGTTTTATGAGTTTGATCAACCAGCTGCAACGCCGTTGCAATTCGCTTTCAAACAATAGTGTTCGCAGCGCAAATAGACCACGCCTGCGTTTCTATTCAATAGACACGGGTTTTATTAAAATTTACATTGTTTATTTCAAAAATGCCACAATTGTCGATTGTGTAGTGAGTAATTAAAATTCTTAAATTATAAAAATTAGTTTAATTCTTAAATTTTATGATGTTTAATTAAAAATAAAAACATATAACATTATGCTGTGCATCGCGAATATTATATATAATTTATTTTGAGATAAATGTACTGTAATATTATACGTAACATGTTTATTACACATAACAGAAAAAAAAGATAAGTTTAATGCAATATGCAGTAGAATATGCATACAATGTGTATTTAATTAAAAATAGGTAATTACTGGTAAGCGATAGATAATTGTAATGTTCCAGCGTGTTAGACGTGCAAATTCCTATGAAATTTCAATTTTGATAAAAACGCGGAGATAATATTCGCTCCACTTGCTCCTGTAACTGTGATGGAACAATAGCCGGTACTATGCTAGGATTCACTTGCACGCAATATAGATTGATACACCAAATATTTGCGATGTTATATATGCACAGGCACGTCGTACAAACGATAGGTACGTTATAAGGGCGTTCAAGAAGGGCGAATTATATGTGATCAAGAACCATGACGAAGTCCTGGCGACTACACAGCTGCACGTCAGGTGTGCAGTGAGACTGTTAAGCTAAAACTTTTGTCAGGCAATGTATATTTCTCAGGATTTCGGGTGCTACGGATTTCTACTTCGATGCTTGTCCGTTGAAAATTATGCTATATACTTACGCAAAATCAATTTGATCTTTTACTGTTACTGTCAGTGAAAATAATGCTTCATGTATTTAATTAAAAGCTGAATTAAAAAATAGTGAATTTATTACACGAGCGTAATTTATATATATATATATATATATATATATATAGAAAAAAACTCTAAATCATTGCATATTTATAATAAAAATAAATTTTTAAATAATGCATTTAAAACGTATGATATTTTAGATTAATCTCTTGAATTACTTTAAATGTGAATTATTTAATTTTTAATTTTACTAAAGAGTATAAGCCTTTTAAGCACTTCAAATTTTAATTTCATATTTTTTCCCCTTTTTCTGCGTATAACTTCAGTAAATTATAAAAATAAAACAAACGCACAAGCTTTTTGAATATATAGATTATCTTTTTATAAGTTATTTATAAGCATTATCAGTAGGTGTATGTATATCGTATGTGCGATAAAGTATACAATTTAGTATACTACGCTATTCTTTGGTGCGACCAAGATTAATCTTGGGCTTGTACCTGAAAGTTGCATCTACTGTGATATATGTACATAGCTATATGTAAATTGCGACGCATGGTATTCCCCTTCAAGGACCAAGCTATATATTTACTCGTTTGAATCTCGTGAGATTCACTGAAGCCGAAGAGAGAGACCCTCTGAGAGCACAATATTTCAAAAATTTCAACTCGACACACACGCACGAAGTGACGCGAAGCGATTTAACGTGGTTTTAAAGGCATGCACGCGGAGAATAACTTCTTTAGCAGTCCGATGTAATCAAAACGAAGTGTGTACATAAGAAGAAATTGCCGCTGCAAATAGCTTTTAAGCTTTCTATTCACTGTGTAGAATCATATAAAAGTGACATGACCTTTTGCAACACGAGTGAATATTAGCCCTTTGATGAAACGTAAGTAGACGCTTGAAAAGAAGTTCAATATCATGTGATCTTTTCTGAAGAAACTTGGTTTATGACGAAGATCCATTTTTTTTGTTGAGAAAAACGTGTGTTTAAAGTTTGACAATATTACGTGGTATCGTTGAATGCGATATTTCATGCAATTTAGTTTTGTTCTTTTTTCTTATAATAAGTTTGATGCAAGTTTAATTTTCTTTGTTTTTATGTCTCTTCAAAGGTATAAAAAACATAACATAAAGTTCTTTTTTGAAAATTTGATTTCTACGTCAATTCTAAAAATAGCAATCTAGGATTAGTTTTAATAAAATATAGATTGTTTGTAGATATTAAAACTGCCAAATCCTAAAACAAAAATTTCAAGTCGGGTTTTTTTCAAAGAGGATCAAAATATATGTGTTATATGCAAAATTAAAATCATTTAAACACAAAGAATTAAGCTCTAAATTTTGCATTAATAATAAACAACCGTTTCAATTTTTTTCCAGAGCTTTTTAAAAAGATGATGAGTAAATAACATCAAATGTAATTTTATATCAACTTTTTTTTTATCGAAAGAAATAAACATGCTAGTCCTGTTCCTTTTCCGAAAACTGCAAATACTTATGTAACAATTCTTTTCTCTATTATTCCAGCTGTTGAAAATATATTGTTATTCTAAACATAAAAGGCTCTGGCTTGTGAATACAGAGAATGATCGATACACGATGTGCAAACGTGGCAAACGCACACGTGGAGACAAATCTCCGCATCTCATGTCTTGTCAGCGTCAACAATGCGGTACAATTGCGACGAGGTTGCGCAGCGAGAGCACGCCGATACGTGTTGTACTGACATGCACAATATGGATACGCATCAAAACGGTGAAAAGAGAATGCAGTTGCACAATGGAGCGCGCCAGCAGACGCGACGAGGATACGCGGGAGTGTAACGCGAGTTTATATCATAGTACTATATCGTAATACGATCTGCAGTAATACGGGCGGATAAACGGCGAAATAATCGTTCCAGCCACCAAGCATAGTAAAATCCTTTTGCATTGATGTACTGATACAACGCGTATACAATGGAAACATAACGCTATGATGGATAAGCCTTGTCGACATGTTATTTGTCATCGTGCGACTGAATAAACAACGCGCGCCTAGCTTGTTAACTAGTTGCAATGCGAGCGCAGCGCAATAACAACGAGAATTGTGCTTCTCCTTTGAAAACAATAATTAATTTTAAAAAATATATGTAGAATGTATAAAAAATCTGGTATTTTTTGTACTCGAAAATTTCCTTCACACAAATCTCGTTCAAATTAATTGAAATAAAATATTCTTCAAACGAAATATTTATATATGCATATATGCACCCACAGCTTGTTACTACTATTTTTTATTTCGGTCACACAGAGTGTTTCTTCATTGCGCTATTCCGTACCGAAAGGGTTAATGATTATAAATAAATATATAAAAATAAATATATAAAATGTGAAACATATGATTAGACTATCTACAGTTTCTTTCTATCGAAATACAATTGTCTTACGCTCTCATTTACCAAGAGGATTCTTTTCCAATCATCATTAGGACACAAACTTTCGTTTTCTCACTTAT